TTCTCTGCTCATGACTCACCTACTATTATAATAGATAATAAAAATGATAAGTGTGAGTGCAGGTAAATCAAGGTGTCTGGCTTTTTTTTTTTTTTGCCACTAAGCCACATCCCCAGCCCTTTTTATATTTTATTTTGAGACAGGGTTTCTCTAAATTGCTTAGGGTCTCACTAAGTTACTAAAGCTTCAGCCTCTGGAGTCACTGGGATTACAGGTGTCCACCACCACGCATGGCTAAAGAGTCTGCTTTTAAATATTTCCCTTCTGTGTCAGAGCCAATGATGTCAAACCAGCACAGATCAAGAGTCTAAGAATTATAATGTTGATCCATCTTATTGTAATGGTTTGATTTGCAGGTGACATAAAGCAGAAGATTATCAGAAACTGAGTTTCAACATTACTGCTGTGCAGTATAATTTTGATATTTAGAAAGATTGCACTTTATTTTTTTTTCCTCCAGTTATTTCTTTTATTCTGTTCTTTTTTTTTTTAATTTTTTATTGTTGGCTGTTCAAAACATTACATAGTTCTTGATATATCATATTTCACACTTTGATTCAAGTGGGTTATGAGCTCCCATTTTTACCCCATATACAGATTGCAGAATCACATCAGTTACACATCCATTGATTTACATATTGCCATACTAGTGTCTGTTGTGTTCTGCTGCCTTTCCTATCAAGATTGCACTTTAGCTGAGTTTAAACTGATATATGTGAGGTCTTGTGAGCAGCTGCTGTGTCGCAGTGCATTAATTGAGGGGTTGCTATTTAGAATGCACCAAGATTCTTACTATCCATTTGTTGGGCTGTTTCATATCCCAGTATGGTTCAAAGCAGGAAGGAGTTAAGAATTGCTCTTTTGTTGGGCCCATAATCCCAGTGGCTCAGGAGGCTGAGGCAGGAGAGTTGTAAGTTCAAAACCAGCCTCAGCAATTTAGTGAGGGCCTAAGCAACTCAGTGAGACACTGTATCTAAATAAAATATTTTAAAAGGGGATGTATATATGTATGTATGAATAAATAAATAAATGTGCTATTAAACCGATTAGTAGCTTTTCCAGACATGGTTATTAGTTATGTTCTATATAATTAGATTTATTAATGCCAGGACTAGTTGTTTAAAATTTGAAATTAACTCTTGCCTATAATCCCAATGACTAGGGAGGCTGAGGCAGGAGAATTGCAAGTTCATAACCAACCTAGACAATTAAGCAAGACACTGTCTCAAAATAAAAAGGACTAGGAATGTAGTTTGATGATAGAGTGCCTTGGATTCAGTCCCAAGTAACACATACACACACACACACACACACACACACACACCCACTCTCCCCGCCCCCCCACCCTTAACTGCATATAGTGATGTGCATGGACATACATAAACCTGAGCTCAAGATTAGGTTTACTCTTCCCAGCTGTGTGACTTTGGGTACTTCATTTACATATCTAACTTAGTTTTCTCATCTTTTTAAAAGGCATAGTACTGTCTACATCATAGTACTAATACTTCCTGGAATAATGCACTTGACCTTGAACCCGGTGCATAGTAAGCCCTCAGAAAATGGTAGCTATTATTAAATGGAGACTTGCTAGATGTTTCATCGGATCTTAATAATCCAAGGGTCATGCCAGATTTGGTGGCACGCGCCTGTAGTCCCAGCTACTTGGAAGGCTGAGGCAAGAGGATCACAAATTCAAGGCTAGCCTGGATAACTTAGTAAGACTGTGTCTGAAAATAAATTTTTTTTTAAAGTTTTGGGATATAGGTCAGTGGTAGAATGCTTGCCTAGCATGTGGGAGGCTCTCGGTGGAATCCTTAGTACTGCTTAAATAAATAAATGTTAAGACTGTATATCATTGCTATACTTATATTATGGTAACATTAATTTTAGTTCACATATTAAAATGTAAAAATGTGCTTTTTAGAATAGGTAACTAAGTAATTTACATTTAGTTCTTTTTTTTTTAATTTAATTTTTCAGTTGTAGATGGACACAGACTTTTGTTTATTTTTATGTGGTGCTGAGGATCAAACCCAGTGCCTCACACATGCTAGGCGAGCACTCTGCTACTGAGCAGTTTGTTCTTCCTTTTTTTTTTTTTTCTTTATTTAGTTATTTATTTTTTCGGGAGATGTGGTCTTGCTATGTTGCCTAGGGTAGTCTCAAACTCCTGGGCTTAAGCAGTCCTCCTGGCTCAGCCTCCCCTAAGTATGGGGTACTATGAGTACATGCCACTGCACCTGGCTACTTAACCATTTTTAAGTGCATAACTCAGTGACATTAAATCTGCTCACACTTTTGTTCTTCCATCACCACTCTCTATTCCAGAACTTTCATCTTCCCCAACTAAAACTCCATTCACACTCAACTCCCAGTTCCCACTCCTGTTCATACCGGTAACCACCCTTTTTTTGGGGGGAGGGTAACCAGGAATTGAACTAGGGGCACTCAACCACTGAGCCACATCCCGAACCCTATTTTGTATTTTATTTAGAGACAGGGTCTCACTGAGTTGCTTAGTGCCTCACTAAGTTGCTGAGGCTGGCTTTGAACTCTTGATCCTCCTGCCTCAGCCTCCGGAGCCACTGGGATTACAGGTGTGAGCCACTGTCCAGCCCTGGTAACCACTCTTCTACTTTGCTTTTCTATATTTGACTATTTCCGCTTCCTCCTAAGAGTCAAGTTATCTTTTTTAATTTTACTTTTATTTTTTCGGTACTGGAGATTTAACCCAGGGGTGCTTTACCCCTGAGCTACATTCCCAACCCCTTTTTATTATTATTATTTTTTTTGAGACAAGGTCCTGCTAAATTGCTTAGGGCTTCACTAAATTGCTGAGACTAGCCTCAAACTTGCAGTCCTCCTGCCTCAGCCTCCAATCCCAATCCCTAAATTGCTGGGATTAAAGGCATATGCACCGCTGAGTATGGTGGCACACACCTGTAATCCCAGTGGTTTGGGAGGCTGAGACAAGAAGATCGCAGGTTCAAAGATAGCCTCAGCAAAGGTGAGGCATCAAGCAACTCAGTGAGACCCTATCTCTAAATAAAATACAAAACAGGGATGTGGCTCAGTGGTTGAGTGCCCCTCCCTGAGTTCAATCCCTGGTACCAAAAAAAAAAAAATAGCCTATACACCATTGCACCATGCCTGGCTCAGTTACATTTTTACAGAAATTGAATATGCGTAATCAACAAGAACCAGTGACTGTTTCCTGTTCCACCGGTATGTGAAGCAGCAGACAAGACCCTGAGAAAGGGACATTTTTTTCCATATTTTTAATTGTTGCATTATAATTATACTTAATAATGGGATTCATTTTTACATATTGGTACATGCACACAATAGAATTTGGTCAGTATTGTTTCCTAGCATTTCCCCTTACCCTCCTCTCCTCCCTGGTCCCTGAGAAGGAAAGGGACTTTTTAGATTGTTTAGATAGTTTAGACATTTTTGAGACTATATAGAAGAAAAGGAGGAACTGGGGTGGGAGATAGTAGGGGTTTGTATTTTATGGTTTCATTTTTAAGTGTTTAAACTTTATTTTTTTGGCATGTATTTTAAGAAGCAAGTAAAGATAGTTCTTCCCCCAACCAATTCAGTACTGTTTACTGAGTAACTCATCTTTTCCCTACTAATTTTTTCAAAAGTTTCATTTAAGAATTTAAAACTGTTTTCTTCACAAGACACATTGTTAAAGGAGACAGTTCTCCCATGCCGTTTCTATGACACTTTTGTAAATTCAGAGATAATGGAAAAGCTAAAAAGTAAGCATGAAAATTTGTGTCAATAATCTAGGTCCTTTTTCTGTGTAAATAAGATCTCAATTTTTCTCTCCATAGGAAGAACTAAAGAATAATTCTATTTAATCTTTTTCATTTTATGCTAGATTTATTGTACTCTAATGACATAGTTATGTCTCATTTAGCTATACCGCTTAATCATAATAGTGGCAGAAGTAAATTAAATCAGTATGTAACATGCCCATTTGAGTTAGGACCTTGGGAAGTCCAACAGGAACTTGAACCCAGCAAGTTGAAGAAGGCAAAGACAGAGTGGCAAATGGGGAGCTTTGCTAGCGCTCACTATTAATGTTTTAGTACACTCTAGGACATTTTTCTGAGCTGCCCTTGTGTGCTGCAAGCACTCTTGGTGAGCAGCCCAGATGAGGTTGACTTCTATCTTGAAGCCAATTACAAAGGCAAAATCAAATTCCATGAATCTAATATTTTAAAGCATGGGGCATGTTTTACCATTTTAACATTCTTCAACTTCATAAACATTTGTATAAAGGGCAAGGGGCAAATTTTTATTTTCTGCTTGAGAGACATGTTCATTTCCCCTCCTCTCCTTTTAATCTTCCTGTTTTCTTGACACAACTGCTTCTGAACTCCATTCTCATCTCTCCCTGCTGTGACAGTTCACTAGCGCTTCACGGTACCTAAGACTCTTTCAACTCTTATTTTCCGCCAACTGTCAGATGCGAAATAAGGTTGCTTTGGGAGGGAAAGGGGAGAGTCCTTTCTGAATGTCTCCTTTTCCTTTGAAGCAGGAACACTTCAGAGACAATTGAACTGCTTTTAGATTTTCCTACCACCCAGCCTTTTCTTCTGATAGATCCTGCCATGAACACACGGTTCTGTTGATGACATCTATTTGTTGCTATGGAAATAGTGGTAGTGTCACAGATTCAGCCCAGTAACTTTACTGCAGGTTCTTGCAGGAGAAATGGGCAAGGCTTTAGGGGAGAACCTCATTAAAACTGAAAGCCATCAATTATGAGCAGGTGAAAGGTAAATGGAGCTAACCTTTTCTACAAGGAAAACAAAAAGCGAACCCCTAGCAAATTCACCACATGCATTTGAATGCCCCAGCATGAATTCTGACCTATGAGAAATAATAAATTTACACTCTCTTGGAGTATTTTTTATACTTAAATTTAAGTCTCTTAGCTCAAATTATTTGCACTAAAATGGCCTTTCCCTTTTGAATTTCAGGACAAGGGCAGCAGCAAGTAGTTCCTTCCCCCATCTCAGCAGTCAGTGCACCAACCAGCAAGCCCCAGCAACAGAATGGGAGCTCGGGAGTGGGTAAGATTGCCATGTGTTGGACGTGTGTTGTTTATGTATGTCAGGTTTTTTAATGCCTTAAAAGTTACTCTGGACTGAAGGGAATTTCTCAAATGCCATTCATGTTAGAGTTGTGAAGAATAATTGCAATTCTTATTGTAGAGCATGTGGTTGAAAAAATGAAAGTCTTTGAAAGATGCTTAACAATATGTCTTTTCTTATTAGAATCATATACCCTTCTCAGTTCATCTGGTGGTTTCTCACATCTTTATGTTTTACACCCTCTGCCTGTGAATTTGCATACCTTTTAAATTCTTGCCTTTTAATGATCTAGGATCCACTTATTAAATTTGGCTTGTCTCTCTCCAAGTTTCTCACTTTGGGATCTCCTGAGTATTTGTTGTTTGCTTGAAGACAAAATCATTTATATTGGTCATAGGTTCTGCTTCTCAGTCTCATGGATGAGAAATAATTTCTCCTTTTAATTTTCTCTTCAGCAAGTCCTGAGAGGCCCTGATGGAATCATTTTATTTACTGTCTGGCCTTTGTTTTAGGGACTACTTGCTCTGGAAGTCAATAGTGAGACTTAACACTTTGTAGAAAGTGGGTGGATTTATTTTTAGAAGTTTGTTTTTCTGTTACAACATCACCTACACCTCTTCTTCTCTTCCCTTCCATTATTAGTTTCTATTTTTCAATGCAGGATTCTGAGAACAGCAGGGTTAAGACATCATTGATGTTTCTGTGAAACTTTTAGGACATACTACTTTTCCCCTTTGGTCTTTGTTGTTTTTATCTATTATCTACCTTATAATATCTGTGTATCTCTCATCTATCCGTCTCCCTTTATGAGTGGATCTACTTATACACAGCTCTCAAATTATGGACTGTTGAAGGGGTAGTGGAATAGATTATCCAAAATGCTAAATAACCACAAAAGCCTCTTCCTTAGACTGAAATATAAATAATACAGTATTTATTCTTTCTTCTCCCTACACAGATTCATCTTTCCATCTATCTGTTGAATTACATTGAAATTTATTTATTTACTTATTATAGAATATAATTTTATTTTATGTTACTCTGCTATTACATAGGGCATAACTTTTTTTTAAAGATCTTTTTTGATATGGACACAATGTCTTTATTTTCATGTGGTGCTGAGGATCCAACCCAGTGCCTCACATGTGCAAGGCAAGCGCTCTGTCGCTGAGCTACAACCCCAGCCTCATAGGGCATAACAGGCTTTTTTGGGACTACAGTCAATGATTAGCAACACACAATAGTGGTCCAACTCTCTAAAGGAGGACAATCACTAGACAAACTGGATACTCTCTCACAAGTGCACAGATCTGCATGGAAATGTACTAAAGTTTTAGACTTGGACTTGTGTATTTTTATTTCCCCTTTCTGGTGTATTAAGAAATGACATGCACTTTAATTTGCCAAAAGCGATGCTTGTATTCTGGCAGCAACATGCTACTTCTATTACATAGTAAAGTGAATACCAGAACTACAAAGGCAGGAAGTGTAAGTGAATTTTTACTGGGAAGGGAAGTTGTCAACTTAAATAGCGGCAAATGATGAGTGAAGGAAACTCCCTATTATCACAGATAGACATGACCTTCACAACATGGGATATAGGAGACATTTAAATTTGTGACACACACACACACACACACACACACACACCCGCTACCCTCCCCCCTAGCAGTCAGGAAATGTCAAGTGCTTTCCTATTTGATCTAATACTTCAGGATTCCTGCTAAAAAGGAATAACAGTAAGAGTATAGAAAGGTTGCTTACTGGGCTGGGGGTATAGATTTGGTAGAGTGCTTGCCTTGCATGCACAAGGCCCTGCGTTCAATCCCCAGCACCACAAAAAGAAAGAAAGAGAGAGAGAGAAAGGTTACTTATTGAAAGGAAAGCCTTAAAGAAGAACAAGGAAGGAAATGTAGAAATTAAGAAGTCATTTAGAACACTCTTTAAATTGCAATTAACTACATTTTCTTATCTTCACATAATACAAAGCACAGCTACCTAAGAACTGGTTCAGATTACTCAAATACCACATACATTTTTAGTCTTCTACTAAGTGTTTGGAATTATGTTTATATGAAATGCAGCTATTAATACTTTTCTACAGCAGTAACTGCACACCAGGAAAGCCAAGACAAACATAAATCAAGGAATGAGTCTTCCCAAAGCTGCAGTGTGAAAAGACTGTAAACAGTTGATTCCATACACATGAATGGGTTTCTTTGCTGTAGGAAATCCAAGTGGAATAAGGAATGGAGATGTGTAAAAAGGTTTCTTGAAAGAAGAAGGATTGGGCTAGGGATGTGGCTCAAGCGGTAGCACGCTCGCCTGGCATGCATGCGGCCGGCTTCGATCCTCAGCACCACATACAAAGATGTTGTGTCCGCCGAAAACTAAAAAATAAATATTAAAAAGAATTCTCTCTCTCTCTCTTTCTCTTTAAAAAAAAAAAAAAAGAAAAAGAAAGAAGAAGGATAACGCCCTGTTTGCATTTAGTTTTCAGCCCCTTCTGCTACATCAATTCTTCTCCTGCCCTGTCTGATATTCATAATGTTAAGTTGTCTCAAGCAACTGCATGATGAGGGTGCTGTCCTTGTATGAGTCTTCATTCAGTGTATCAAGTTCTTCAAGGACCTCATCAAAAGCCGTTTAGCCAGTGTGCAGGAGAGCTCTAGGTTATTAAGGTTCTCATAGTAAAATACAGAAAAAATAAGAGCCAGCCCCAGGCGGATTGGGTGTGTGGGTTGCATCTCTTTCTTGCTTATATCAAATGCCTTTGATAAGCTCCTTGGGAATTATCTATAGTTTGTTTCCGATCATCACCACATGCAACTTCAGCAACATACCGGAAGTAATCTCCTTTCATTTTCAGAGAGAAGACCTTACTCTCTCAATTAATTGCATTGGCTATTAAATACTTATCCAACAATTCCAGCACCGTGGTGCAGATGGACCTCAGCTCTGACTCCACTTTCTCCTGATAGCCCTTAATAAGCTGCAACTTCTTGTCGGAGGTGTTGGTCTTCTGGTCAATGCTCGAGATCACCCTCCAGGCGGACCTGTGGACCCCTGAACACGTTCTTGTAGGCCACCAAGAGCCAGTTGCGCTCCTCATTGGACAGCTCATGCCCTGCTCGGTCACAGCCTTCATGCAGGTGGCTGTGTCGTTGTAGTGCTTGGCCTGCTCGGCCTGCTCAGTCAGCTTGGCCTTCTGGGTCAGCTGGGTCTTCTTGGCACAGGGACCGGGGCTGGGGGCAAGGCCAGTGAGGACGAGCGCCAGCCCTGATCGGGAGTTCTCTTCCTCTAGAGCTTCTGGTCCCCTCGCACCCGCAACGTGAGTCTTGAAATTTATTTATAAAGATTATTTAATATACTCTACATTGGATAGTGAAAGACAATGACTGCATGTGTACTGAGGGGTGGCTACCTAGCCTACAAAAATTGGGTGGAGCTAGGCGTGGTGGTGCAGGGTAATCCCAGTGGCTCAGGGGGTGGAGGCAGGAGGATCTCAAGTTCAAAGCCAGCCTCAGCAATTTAGCCAAGCACTAAGCAACCCAGTGAGACCCTATCTCTAAATAAAATAGAAAATAGGGCTGGGGGTGTGGCTCAGTAGTCAAGTGGCCCTGAGTTCAATCCCTGGTACCCCCCCCCAAAAAAAAAAAAAATTGGATGAATGGATGCTTATGAGTGTAATAAAATTGTGTATTTTATATTGTATATGTATATACACATACATATATTCTGTCAAATATATGTGTATTTCCTAGCATCATCTTAAGATCATTATGACTCCTGTGTATGTGTTTATCTCTCCTCACTCCCCAGTTAGAATAGGGAATTTTAGGATCTGGGCCATTCCTGTGTGTATTTCTCACTAAGTGCTACAAACCCTTAGAATAGTGTGTGCATGCTGTGGAAACTCAGTAAATAAATGGTGAATTTATATTTTTAGCCAAATTCTATTCGGAAGAAACATTTTGGTATAAAATGTAGGAGATCATTGAACTAAATTAGGTTTTCTGAATAGGAGGTTGAAGCTTTAGAGATGCAATGTGCATATAAAGAAACTCATCTAATACTGCAGGGCAGCCACACAGGCTTAGGCAAGGCTTCACAGGACACTCACCTATGTTGCTTATTTGTTTTTTGGTACTGGAGATCAGCCCAAGAGTGCTCTACCACTAAGCTATATCCCCAGCCTTTTTTAATTCTTTTTTTTTTTTTTTTTTTTTTTTTAATTTTGGGAAAGGGTCTTGAACTTGCATTTGCAGTCCTTCTACCTCAGCCTCCTGAGTCACTAGGGTTACAGGTGTGTGCCACCCACTTACCTATCTTGACCAAAAACTGATTCTTGCCTTTTGCTAACTAAATGGCATCCTATAGACTTTGTTCTAGACTCTTTCTTCCTGTGGTGGTGTTTTGAGCTGATGCATTTGTGGTAGGTGTCCTTCACCTCCCACATTTGTCCTCTAGATCCTTTACCATGTAGTCTTTCTTTTTTGGGGGGCAGGCGGTGCTGGAGGTAGAACCTATGGCGTGTCTCATACTGGATTAGTGAGATATCCTTAGCCCTTGCTTTTCTTTTCTTATGAGACTAATGACTTGCCATTAGTTTTCCCAGTCAAGAAAGTTGATTTTCTTTCTCTGGCCCATTATCTTGACCATTGATGCAAGGGAAAGTTTTTGGAGGGTGAATCTCAGAAAGTGTTTTGTGCATACATTACCATTGTTATCCTCACCTTAGGGCTTAAGTCATCAGATGGATTCCTGAACTACTGTGTGCTCATCCTTCCTTCCAAATGGCTTTTCTGGCCTCTTGTTTCAGTCTGTCTGATTGCATATCTCTCAGACACTGTAAAGGAAAAACTTTGCCTTTCATTTTATTTAATTTGACCGTGGTATATCAGCAATAAGAATTATTATAAAACTTTATTATAAAAGTTCAATCAAATCATCTTTTGTGTGTTTGTAAAGGTTCTACTGCATCTAAGGCTTTTGGTGCTCCAAAGACATTTGGAAAACCTGGAGGAACCAGCCTATCATATCCTTCTGGGGGGACGCAGTCCAAAGTGGTACCCATTGCCAGCCTCACCCCTTACCAGTCCAAGTGAGTTGATGCATAGGTCAAGTACAGAATGTAGTTACAAAATGGTATAGGAAGTTATTGTGAGCTCTAGTGTGACTTAGGTGTGAACAGTTACCACACTAGAGTGGGTTTCTTTATTCTGAGGGGAGGAGAGTACAAATTACAACAAACTTTAACTTTTCTATCAAAATGAATAACATAAACAGCAATCTGCCATAGCCTGTGAGGTTTCATTCATTTTTGAAGAATTTAAAATTTAAAATATTTACTGCTTGAAGAATAGATCATTAGGCTTGTGAATAAAAATAAATATTTGTGCTAATTCAGAAGGCATTTTATCTCATATAAGTAAGTGACTTTTGGTCTAAAAATTGTTGCTATAATTTAGTTTGGCTAAGATAATCTGTACTATTTGTATTAATCACGTAAATATACCCTGAACATGTATTTGTTTTATGTGACTTTTTTTTTCTATTGAAAATTAGTTCTTTTTCTAGAATTCTTTCAGATATGCATTTATTTATTCTTCAATATTTGGTGATATAGATAAAATTCCCCTGTGAAATTGTAAGTAAGGAACCCAGTATGCCCAGCACCTGCTTTTAAGATGGGTACTAGGCTTGGGTCTTGTCTCTTGGGCCCTGCCCCTCCCTCCCTTCTTTTTTGTTCATCCTAGAAGTGGTGATGGAACCCAGGGGCACTCTACCAATGAACTGTACCCATATCCTTTTTGATTTTGTATTTTGAGACAAAAGTCTCACTAAGTTGGGGGACTGATCTCAAATTTGTTATATTCCTTACTTAGCTTCCTGAGTTGCTAGGATTATGGAATATGCCACCACGCCCAGCTTAATGGGCTTTTTCAAGGTCATACAGCTTCAGTGTGTTTTCTTTTGGTGGTCCACAGACACAATGTTCTTTGGCTTATGTTTATAATTGGCATGCATTAGAAATGAAACAGGAGTTTGATACCAGTTATATCAGTTCCAAAAACTGAAAATAGTGGCAAAATGTAATTGCTGGTATTACTGCATTTTTTAGCTTAGATCCTTCCATTAAGGGAAGATTGTTGCCTTGGTGATGGCTTTTGGAGAAGGCAGAGAGTTTATACATTTACTTACTTGACAGAAGAATGATTTAGTGTTAAATCACCTTGTATGTTTTACTCTTTGTCTATCCTATAAACTGTCAAATCTGTATATCATCTTGGGGTTTAATTAGCTGGATTAAAGTACAGCTGACATTGACAAATGGAATATGCATAAGATAAGAAAGGCCATAGGAAGATGATTTCTTACTTCATCTTTATTCCAAGTAAGACACCAAACACTGATGTGACCTGTTTGGTTTTTAGGTGGACTATTTGTGCTCGTGTTACCAACAAAAGTCAAATCCGTACCTGGAGCAATTCTCGAGGAGAAGGGAAACTTTTTTCTATAGAACTGGTTGATGAAAGTGTGAGTATATGCCAAGTGGATCTTAGGCTGAGCTCTGCTGGCCTATGTGGTGGAGATGTGGTTTTTCTTCTGTTTTGCTTCTTAGATGCTATCTGGGGTAGAGGGTTAAAGGTCATACATAAAATCCTTGAACTTAAAGGAAAGCATTTGTTGTGTTAGAAATTAGTTTTCTAAATGTATAAGTTGCCTCACGGGTACAAAAAAACCTGAGATGTTCTGTCTGATTTGCTGGAAGCTTAGTTGAAGCCCTAGGATGTAATATCTACTAATAAGCAAATTGGGGCTTTGACCCCCAACAAAAGGCAGGCAATAAGCCACCTTGTATAGTGAACGGTGTGTGGGAAATGGGTTCTGTCTGGGCAGATTGTCTATATGCCTTATTTAAATGAAACAGAACCCTGATGGTAGGACAAAATTCCTGAGCCATGGAATCTTGAGTTTTGATAACTGATTCGCCCATAATTTTGTTTATAATGGCTAAATTATACTTTTAAGTATTCTTTTCAAACTGATGCATATTTCCTATTGGCTTGAACCCCCAAAAGTGAGGGGAAAGAATAATTTATTTTCTTCTCTTTTATGGAAGATAGTGTAATTATTATCAAAAAACTAATTTTCTGCAAGTTGTTCCACTAATCTGCAGTTGACTAAAATTCCAGCATTTATTTTTTCTTATTCTGTACCTTTTTTTTTTCTTTCCCCCCTTGGTGGTACTGGGGACTGAACCTGTGGGCACTACCATTGAGCTATATTCCCAGCTTTTTTATTTTGAGACAAGTTGTCACTAAATAGTGCAACCTGGCCTTAAACTTGTAATCCTCCTGCCTCAGCCTCCCAAGCAGCTGAGATTACAGGTGTGCTCCATCATGCCTGGCAATCTGTATGTAACATTTTGATTGACTGAAAAATAAATGTGAAAATCAAATCACAAGCAACTTAAAAATATTTCTTGAGTGACATTTTGGTAGTGATTGCTGAATGTGAAGTAATTCATCACCTAGGTTGCAAGTGTGAGAAGCTGCTGAATCATCCTGGTTCAGCATCCTTCCTGTGGGCTTCAGTTGTGTCCTTAGTATCTAAAATTTGTTTATTGTCAGAATATTAAACGTGTCATTGTTTTGTTTTAAGTTTCTAACTTGAGGTTAGAAAGCATGATTAAAGCATGATTATAGGATCAGCTAGTTGAACTCTTGTTTAGTCAGCAGATGGCTTAAGTATGATTTAAGATGTGGGTTTCTGGTATATATGCAGCCTTCTCAACCAATGGTCCATTTTGTGCTTGTGCCACTGCTCAAAGGTCTTTTTGTTTGTTTGTTTGTTTGGAACTGGGGATTGAACTCAAGGGCACTTAACCACTGAGCCATATCCTCAGCCCATTTTTGTATATTATTTAGAGACAGGGTCTTGCTGAGTTTCTTAGCATCTCACTAAATTGCTAAGATTGGCTTTGAACTAGGGATCCTCCTACTTCAGTCTCCTGAGCCACTTCACATTTAGCAATCACTACCAAAAATGTCACTCAAGAAATATTTTTAAGTTGCTTGTGATTTTTTTTATTTTTCAGTCAATCAAAATGTTACATACAGATGGCCAGGCATGGTGGAGCACACATGGTGGAGTTACAGGCATGTGCCACTGTGCCCAGCTCAAAGGTGTCATCTTGATGCTAAAGTGGCCTGCCTTTTCATTGGTTGAACTCAAGTGTCAAACACCACAATCCTAATCTACCCTCACTTGCTTCTACAGGGTGAAATCAGAGCTACTGCATTCAATGAACAAGTGGACAAGTTCTTTCCCCTTATTGAAGTTAACAAGGTACGAAAGTGTTGATTTAAAATTGATGCAGTTGGGTGGTACATTGAGAACAGAGATGCCCCTTCATTGGAGGGCAGTAAAGGGTTTTTATGCCCAATTTGATAAATTATCTTGCATTCAGTGGCTTGGCTTCTTTTACAGGTGTATTATTTCTCAAAAGGCACCCTGAAGATCGCTAACAAACAATTCTCTGCTGTTAAAAATGACTATGAAATGACTTTCAATAATGAGACTTCTGTCATGCCTTGTGAAGATGATCATCATTTACCTACGGTTCAGTTTGATTTCACAGGGATTGGTGACTTAGAGAATAAGCCTAAAGACTCACTTGTAGGTAAGTCCAAATTTGAGAGAAAAAGGGTGGTGATGATCAGTTTTATTTGCAGTATATGGGGAGCTTAAAGACTTACAAGCTTGTCATTAAGCCTTGGTCATGTTATAATGGGAGCCTTGACCTCTTTTAAAACTTTGTTTTTGTGCTTTAGACATAATTGGGATCTGCAAGAGCTATGAAGATGCTACTAAAATCACAGTAAAGTCAACCAACAGAGAAGTTTCTAAAAGAAATATCTATTTAATGGACATGTCAGGGAAAGTGGTGAATGCTACTCTGTGGGGAGAAGATGTAAGTACTTGACGCTTAGTAGAATGCTCCACAGGTTGGCTGTCTTGTCCTATAAGTTGTGGGGCTTTGGTCATGTGGGTGTCAAAGGGTTGTACTGTCGCAATTATTTGAAATCTTTTCTTTTACTTTTGTGGAATGTACTATGATTTCAGCTTTCTCTGGTTAAAATGTTCTTTCCTGTAACACTAGGAAAGTAATGATAGATTAGTTTTTATATATCACTGAGCAGATTTGTTTGAGGTCTATCTTGTATAGATTTTGTATACATTGATTATATTCACTCTACTGTTGACTCTTTTCTATAAAAAATACTTTGCGTGTTCTTGATGGTGACATTTGTGTGCATTTGGTGTTCATTTGGCAGGCTGACAAGTTTGATGGTTCTAGACAGCCCGTGATGGCCATTAAAGGAGCCAGAGTTTCCGATTTTGGTGGACGGAGCCTTTCCATATTGTCTTCAAGTACTATCATTGTGAATCCTGACATCCCAGAGGCCTATAAGCTTCGTGGATGGTAGGTTTTGTAGGACTAAACTAGGATGAATTATTTAGTCTAGGCTTGGAGAAGAACAGGTTACCATCAGTATGTGAGTTCTTTGCCAACTAAAAGGCTTCACTATTAAATGTAGCAGTTTCCATATTTCCTGGTGGTGTTACACCTTCTGAGAGGATGATTTTAAAGCCCTTAAACCGACAAGCCCATAATCCATGACAAACCTGGACAGTCCAGGGAGGCTGTTAGAATGTGAGTACTATATGCTGACCTCCATCCTGCCAAAAAAAGGGTACCAAACTGTAGCAGCAATGTGGGGAAGGACTGCATGGAGGGCAGGACTGCATGCTTACACCATGAGCTATGGGGGTCTGGCATGGAGAGAGAATGTGCTTTCTTACTCTGTGAACTCTCTGGTGCCAGTCACATCTCTAGTATTACTTGGACTCTGGTAAAGCATGGTGGAACATTGGGATTTTTGTTGGCATTATATTGCTATTCCCAAAGCACTCAAGGGATGAGGAGAGCCTGTTGAAATCTCCTCACAATATCTAGCTTTTTAAGGCATTAAGACTCTGCTATAAAAGAGCACTTCACCCTGAAACATGGTATGCAAGAATTGATGTGGTCAGGGAAAACACTTTAACTAGCCCAGGCTTAAATAATTTGTATAGCCGGTCACAGGGACATGTGTGTCAGCTTCCAGCTGTGTCTTAGGGTTTAAGTGACTTCAGAATTGGCTCATATTTCATACTCCTCACTTTGTTTTGAGTCTAATGTGAACCAGTAGTGTAGTATTTAAGTAGTTTCAGGCAATGTATTTGGAGTGTTCATGTCACTTTAGCCATCCCCATGAGTACAGTCCACATATATCTATTTAACTATTCTGGTAGGTGGCATTGTATTATAAGGCAGAGCCCATTATAGTATGACTAGAAATAACCACAGCTTCAGTTTGTTCTTGTTGCTTGATTTGCTTTCCAGCTCTGGAGTTCGACCCCAGGTTAATTGTGTGCCCACATTTAAGTTGTTCATATTTCACTTGTCAATAACTGTGATCCCTGGCAACATAAAAAGACATGGCTGTCCCCAGAACAAAATAACTTGGCATTGATCAAAGAGAAGTTTGGTGCACATACCCCAGATAGGCAAGGATTAGTGATGTTTAGATCTTGACTCTAACAAAGTGGAATTTTTATTGTAAGAAGGGCTGCCTCTCTCCTTGCTCTGTTGACTCCTGATGAGCTGTCTTTGGTGGCAAATGTCTCCTTGGAGTTTTTGAAACCGTAAACTTGTATAGCTAGTAGTGGTGAAACAGATTTATAGACCTTGCTATGCCTCTGTGATGGATTTAGCTGCTTACCTGACAGAATGAGAAGGCAATTGTCTGCAGCTTAGGGCAACATCCATTCTGTAAGATGGTCTCTTTTAGGAAGCCTGTTCTGTACATGGTTAGCTTTTAGTTATACACCTTTTGGATGATGTTGGGCATGTTTTTAATCTCAGACTGACTACTGCCTGCCACAGGTGTGTTTCTGAACCACCTTCTACCTGGTCTCCTTTCCTTCACATCACCTAATAAGTGATCAGGAAGTATGATGAATTTTAATAATGATTCAATACAAATTAAGTTTAAATTGGCATAAGTAAAATATCACTAAGAAAGTAATTTCAAAAAAAAAAGGAGATAATGCCTTCTGTTAGATTACTTTGGGTTATATAATTGTTGAAACTATCAGGCTTTAGAAGTTTTCTACCATAGAAATCTTTTTTGACTAACTTATTCCAACATGTTAACTGCCCCTTTTCATACTAAATACATTTCAGTGATGATAAAAATGCGTCTGCAGCCATTGGCACACATCTGTAATCCCAGCAATTCAGGAGGCTGAGGCAGGAAGAAAGTTCAAAACCAGCCTCAGCAATTTAGGGAGACCCTGTCTCAAAATAAAAAAATGGACTGGGGATGTTGCTCAATGGTAAAGCATCTCTGGGTTCCATCTCCAGTACCAACAACAACAAAAAAGGCATCTGGCCAACTGAGATGAGCATTAGTAGCCCAAAGGATTATACCATAGATCCCCATTATTACTTTCTCTTTTTGACTTCTTGTGTTACTGTTTTGAGGCTGTAGCCCAGCCACTCTTGATATGCGTGGCTAATTTAGAAAGAGGGTCTATGGTACTTTGGCACTGTTTGTTTTGACCACTGGGGGGCATCAAAGCAAATGAGATAACAAAGGACATTTGGTTTCTTCAGTAGACTTAGGGTGCAGTAGAAGATACTGACTTGAGTCCATATGACCATGACTGATGTGAAAGTTGGGTGCCGGGGCAGAGAGCTTATGTCTGGTATATAGAAACAGGTGGCACATTTGAAAAGTACATAAAGTGCCTGTCCTTCCCACTGGAGCTGTAGCTTAATGGCTGTAGCTCAGTAGCAGAACACTTGCCTATCTTGTGGGGAGCACTGGATTCGATTCTTAGCACCACACAAAAAGGAAACAAAGGCATGCTGGTCATCTACAACTCAAAAAATAATAATAATAATAAAGAAGTGCCTGTCCTTGTTTTTTTTTTTTTTTTCAGGTTTGACTCAGAAGGACAAGCCTTAGATGGTGTTTCCATCTCTGATCTGAAGAGTGGAGGAGTAGGAGGAAGCAACACCAATTGGAAAACCTTGTATGAGGTTAAATCAGAGAATCTGGGCCAAGGTGACAAGGTATCTTGTTCCTCACATTCACAAGATCATAGAAAATGTGTACAAAGGGATGAGTTTTGAAATGTGGTTTGTCTTGAAATCTGGTTTCTGATCAGAGCCATAATTCTTACCCAGGGCTCCCTGCCCAGAGGGTGACACAGTGGTTGAGAGTCACCACCAGAGTGAAGGGCTGTGCTTGCAAATAGGAATATGTTGTGGCCCCCTAGTATGTTGAGGCAGAAAATGTGAAAACTTCTTAGAGGGATCTTGAATAAGTGGTAATAACCAAGCTTTGTATAATATGAACTGACTTCACATCCATATTTCTTTTCTGCAAATCAAAGTGTCACATATCATGGAGACATTTTTTGAACAGAGCATTAGTCAGACTCGGTGTCAAGTGTCCAGCAGTTCCCATATGCTTTAACCTCTCATAGGCTGAGAGGACTGGCTCTGGTATTTGACTTAGTTGCAGCTTTCCTTTCAAGGTTTGTACTTAATGACCCCATCCCATCTTGATCTAACCTGTTGTGTCAGTAAAGTATTTAAATCATTTATTTCTCTTTTATGCTTCCCCAAATAGCAATCCCTGCTCCTTTCTTGTCATCATATACGATTTAGGTTTTAGTCTCATATTGTTTCATTTCACCGTACACCCCCATCCATCATTGTCATGAACAGCAACTTATGACGCTGTTATATAATATCTTGATAATGAAACACTGGACAAAGCTGTGTTGTCCTGTCACCCAAATTCTTTCTTAACTTAAAGGTAGACAATATGTAATAAGAAATCGGACATATAGGGCTGGGGATGTGGCTCAAGCAGTAACACGCTCACCTGGCATGCATGGGGTGCTGGGTTCGATCTTCAGCACCAAATAAAAATAAAATAAAGATGTTGTGTCCACCGAAAACTAAAAAATAAATATTAAAAAGTTCTCTCTCTCTTTAAAAAAAAAAAAAAAGAAAAGAAAGAAATCAGACATATAAAATACCTGTCTATACCTAGACTTCCAAGTTGAGTCTGGACCTAACCCACAAATACAGAAAACCACATGCATGCTGGGCATGTGCTCTACTATTAGGCTCATTCCCAGCCATAGAACCATCTAAACTGGGTACTAGCCCTGGCTCATCCACGTTGTTTTGCCTCTTTTGGTCTGAGGTATCTAAAGACACGGTGATGCTGACCTGACTCTGAATTCAGGGTACACCCAGAGTCAACTGCTACCTGCCAGTACTAAGATCTGAGATCCTCTATGGGGTGCTAAAAGAAAAGACAAATATCAACAAAAATCCCCAAAACAAGACTTATCCCTTGCTAGATTTACTCATTCATGATTTCTTTGCTTAGAAGGCACATCTCTTAGGCACTGGTATTTTTGTATTCTACTGAATGACTCAGACCAGGGGTTGGCAAACAAGGCCTAGGGTCTTGTCTAACCTGCCACCTATTATAAAGTTTTAATGGAACATAGCCACATGCTTCCATTTACATGCTAACCGTGGATCTTCTTGCCCCATAATAGAGGGTTGAGTAGTTGCAATAGAGTGTATTATTGAATAGCTCATTGGGCCTAAAATATTCACTGTCCAACTTTTTTTTTTTTTAATATTTATTTTTCAGTTGTAGTTCGAAACAATACCTTTATTTTATTGATTATATGTGGTGCTGAGGATTGAACCCAGGGCCCCTAATGTGCTAGGCAAGTGTTCTACCTCTGAGCCACAACCCCAGCCCTCACTGTTCAGCTTTTAGCAGAAAAAATCTAGCTTTATCTCTGGCCTAGACAAAGATAAAGGTGAATCTAGGGCCTAGAAATCACAGTCCTTGATTTTCATGTGGGAGGATTGGTTAATCATAGCTGCATTAGATTTTTGTGATCTATATTAGTCTATTTCCTAGATTTGTAGCCTCTAGAGGGTCTGAAGCTAAGAAGGAACAAGTTTTGTCTTGCCTATAATCTTCAAAGATGAAAACAATGTCAGTTTTAATTAATTAATTGAGTCTAATTTAGAATATTTTCTTGTGTTGATAAGGAATTATATGCTTTAAAACTTGGTTTACTACCTTTGTGGGTTTTGTAAGCAGTACAAATTATTTCTGAATTATTCAGAGTGCATGATTCCTTGTACTCACTTTGTGAGCTTAAGAATTTGAGTACATGTATGTAGGCTTTGAGCCACTTGTATGTAGGCTTTGAGCTGCCATTGAGTCCAGTCCTGAACATAGGCTTGGTGCTCAGTGTCCCATTATCATTCTTTTCTTCTGAAGGCAGACTATTTTAGCTCTGTGGCAACAGTGGTGTATCTTCGCAAAGAGAACTGTATGTACCAGGCTTGCCCAACTCAGGACTGCAATAAGAAAGTGATTGACCAACAGAATGGATTGTACCGCTGTGAAAAGTGCGATAGTGAATTTGCCAATTTTAAATACCGCATGATCTTGTCGGTAAGTAGAATGGGTAGATGAGAAGCAATGTGGTGTTTTTTGAGTCATTCCCACGTGCCAGGCACTGTGGATACAACAGCAGAAACAAGATCATTCATGGTAGGAAGCTTACAGATGAGTAAGTGCTGAAGAGCTTATTACTGTTCTATAAATAAGGAAGGAAGGGCCTTTCACTCAACTGAATAGCAGTCTGTTTTCAGCTACTAAAAGCTTTTTTTTTTTTTTTTTTTTTTTAATGCCAGAAAGTTATGTTGAGATGCCCTGGCTGATTTCAGTCTTCTGTGCATGTCATAGAGCTTACAGTATTGGTGGCACTCACCTGCTAACAGTTATGAAGATAAATTAATTTGAAATGGCATTTCTGGAGAGCAGTAATTGTACTTATACAGCCAGTGCCTATATTTAGTTATTTTTCTTATGGATAATTTGTTCTTCTAGCCATGGTAGGAATGTGACTGTGTGCTCCTATGGGATTGTTGCTTTTTTGTATTGTAAAGATTGTTCATTTTTCTTTCATGACAGTAACTGGTAATGATACAATAAAACAGGCACTCTTGCATTTTTCCACACAATGATTTGGCAATAATATATCAGAAACCTTAAAAATGTTTATATTTCCTGTCAGGAAGTTGGAAGGCTGAGGCAGGAGGATTGCAAGTTTGAGGGGTAGCCTTGTCAACATAGCAGATTTTTTTTATTTTTTATTTTTTTTGGCGGTGCTGGGGATTGAACCCAGGGCCTTGTGCATGCAAGGCAAACATGAATTTTTTGGAATTTAAAAATAAATAAATAAAAAATAAAAAAAAAAGTGCCAGGGACATAGTTCAGAGACATATGTTTCAATCCCCAGCACCACAAGGAAAAAAAAAAAACTTTAGTTCATAGCACATTGCATCTGGAGGTGACCTAGATTCCATGTGCCTGGAGTTTGCATCTGGAGGAGAGTTTGGTTAGGCTCAGTCCCCACTCAGCTCTGAAATCACACATCCACAGCCTCCATATTAAACTCCTTTCTATATCTTTCACAGTTTTTAGGATATAGTACAGGTGCCCCTTAGCTTAAATGGATTACATCCTGATAAATCCATAGTAAGTGGAAAATATTCTAAGTTGAAAATTTATTTACTATACCTACCAAACATCATAGCTTAGCCTTAGCCTTACCTACCTTAAACATGCTCAGAACATTTTTAATAGCCTATAGCTAGGCAAAATCATGCAACACAAAGCCTGTTTGGTCTCCCCCCCCGCCCCCCATATTGATTGATTGATTGAGGAGGATTGAACCCAGGGGCACTGAGCTACATTCCAACCTTTATTTTGAGGGAGGGTTTTGCTTGGTTGCTGAGGCTGGCCTCTAACCTGTGACCCTCCTCCCTCAACCTCCCAAGCTGAGGGATTGCAGGTGTACATCACCACACTCAGTTTACAAAACCCGTTTTATGATTAAAGTCTTGAATCTCATATAATTTATTGAATACTGAACTTAATGTGGAAAACAATTATTGAATGGTTATGATTTTTTCATGAGGTGAAAATTATTAAGTCAAATCACCCTAAGTTGGCAACTACGTCTATATGTAACGGTAATATTTTTTCTCTTGGAAATCATTTTAATGAGTGGAAAAAGTTAATCTCTCACTTTCAGTGTGTCTTTTATTATTTCTTTGTTGAAATAATAAAATTATGTGTTTTAGGCAAATATTGCGGATTTTCAAGAAAATCAGTGGGTGACTTGTTTCCAGGAGTCTGCTGAAGCTATCCTCGGACAAAACGCTGCTTATCTTGGGGAATTAAAAGAGAAGGTTAGCCACATATTTTATTATAGCTGTAATTATTCTCATAACAATGAGCACTTTTTGCTGTTTAATATTTTTTGGTTTCCTAATTTTGGGTGTTATATATCATTTCTTAGTCTGGTGGTTATTTGTTATTAAATCTGATTTTTTTCTAATTTTGTCCATTTTGAATGTGTATAACAATGAGGTAATGAAACAGGTGTATAAAAAAAGCTTTACAAATAAGGCACCTTTTTTGGGAAAGGGTTACTGGGGATTAAACACAGAGACAATTAACCACTGAGCTACATCCCCAGTTCTTTTTATTTTTAACTTTAAACACAGTCTAAGTTGCTTAGTGTCCCACTAAGTTGCTGAGGCTGGCTTTGAACTTGCAATCCTCCAGCCCCAGCCTCCCAAATCACTGCGATTATAGGCATGTGCCACCAGGCCTGACAAAATAAAGCACCTGTTTATTCTATGTAGATACTATGTGTGCTTCTTATCACTCAAATTTGGATGGTAAATAACCCAGAATTTAGGTGTGCCTTTTTAATATAATAAATGCCTTCCAGAACATTTGAGTCAAATTTTGTTTTAAATACACACATGAGGTGCTTGCTATTAAAGATCATCAGATATAATTCTTATGAAGCAATTTTCTTTCATAAGATTTTACCCATTTTATTTTTACAAATTCGTATTTTTACATATTAGGATTATTTAGTGCAGAGAATAGACTACTAATTAGTAATTGCTCAGATGTAACATAGAAGACTAGTAAACCTGTATTTTCTAGGCCATGAAAATCAGCATCCATCTATATATATGTGTTGTCCCCACCCCCAGCCTCCCCATATTTCCTCCAAATTGGAATGCTTACAAAGGTCACAAAGAAAAGAGAATTTGCCATTTTTTTTTTCCTTTCTGTCCTTGGTTCTATTTGATTCTGTCCCCACTTCTATTTTAAATTGTCCATGAGATCTCTGAAAATAGTCACAAGTTCTTTTAATGTACATGTTGAAAGTCTAGAGAACAACTTTCATTTTTGGTCATATAATACTTATAAAATGTCTATATAATGAAGTTATTATTAGTTTTATATAAAGTTATTATAGTTTATTTTATGCATTTTTATGTAAGATATATTTTATAATCTCGCTTGCTTTACTAGAAGCAACAAGTTCTTTTACAAAAATAACTGGAATTGACTTTGAAGTGTGATAGTATCTTGTATCTATTTCATCTGGTCCTTTATTTTCATATCAGAGTTTAAGGCTCCAGTCAGCCTTTCAGGATTTTTTATGAGCTTATATTTGACTGTTTTTACTGCTGGTGAATAAGGATATATAGGAACTCTTCCCTCCGGAAGCATAGTGGCTTTTTTTTTTTTCCTTGTAATACTGGGGATAGAACCATGACTTCATGCATGCTAGGCAAGTGCTCTACCATTGAGCTACACCCCCAGCCTTTTTTAAATTTCTTTTGTTTGTTTGTTTGTTTGTTTTATGTGGTGCTGGGGATCAAACCCAGTGCCTCACACATGCTAGGTAAGTGCTCTCCCAGTGAACCCCAGCCCTAGCCCAGCCTTTTTTATTTCTGAATAAGGGTTGCACTAAGTTACCCAGGCTGGCCAAGACATGTGGTCCTCCTGCCTCAGCCTCTAGAGAGGTTGGGATTGTAGGTATGTTCCACAGGGTCCAGGTGCAGAGCCGTGGTGCTCTTGGAGCATGTGTGCAGCCATGCTTTTCCTAATCTGGAAGAATAATGGCGGCTATATAATTCTCTTAAGGTTTAACATATAATTTTATTACATGTTGATAGCCCAGAGAATGACTATTTTGTTCAAGTAACATTTATGAAAAGAGGTCCATATGATAAAGCCATTTTCATGTTCCATATGCTTGCAAATTACTTATAGCAACTATTAGTTTTATATGTAAAGTTATTATAAGTTTATTTTATGTGTTTTATGCATACTTGCCTTACCAGAATTTTTTTTTCAATACAAAAACTTTAAGTAGCATTGAGGAATGCAAATAAGAGAGAAAGGACTGTGTTTTTAGATATTCCCAGACCTTTGCCCATTCTACCTGTCTATATGTACTTACTAAATTAGTATTTATACAGAGACTGAAATAATGAAATAAATGACAATTTGAACTTGAACTTACATTTTCTGGTGTTTTCCCACCTGGGTTTTTTGGGGGTTTTTTTCCTTTCCTTTTCTTTTTGGTACTTGACCACCGAGCCACATCCCCAACATTGTTTTGTATTCTATTTAGAGACTGAATCTCACTGAGTTGCTTAGCACTTCACTTTTTGCTGAGGCTAGCTTTGAACTTGTGATCCTCCTGCCTTTGCCTCCCCAGCTGCTAGGATTACAGGCATGCACCACCGCGCCTGGCTATATTTCTTATTTTGAGCAGGGTGTCTCTAAGTTATGCAGGCTGGCCTTGAACTTGAGATCCTCCTGCCTCAGTCTCTTTGAGAGTCTGGGATTGCAAGTATGCACCACCATACCCAGCTTTCTCACCAAATTCTTATATAAATTTTTTTTAGCGTTGATGGGCCTTTATTTTATTCATTTATTTATATGTGGTGCTGAGAATTGAACCCAGTGCCTCACACATGTGAGGCAAGCACTCTCCCACTGAGCCACAACCTCAATTCCATCACAAACATTTGAAGTCTTAGAAATGTGTTTTTTTTTTTTTTTAAGAGAGAGAGATAATTTTTTAATATTTATTTTTTAGTTTTTGGCGGGACACAACATCTTTGTTTGTATGTGGTGCTGAGGATCGAACCCGGGCCACACGCATGCCAGGCGAGCGTGCTACCACTTGAGCTACATCCCTAGCCCCTAGAAATGTGTTTTCTAAGAATGTTTTTAATTTTTCATATGTGGTAAAATAAACATAACATAAAACTTACCATTGTAACCATTTTGAAGCATGTAACTAACTGGCACTAACTGTATTCAAACAATAGCTCCCCATTCCCAACTTCTCCCAGCACCTGGCAACCACCATTCTGCTTCTGTGAATTTGATGAAAGTCAGCCCTCTGCATCTGAAATTCAACCAACCACAGATCAAAAAAAATTTTTTGGAAAAGACCCTGTCTCAAAAAATAAAAAGCTGGAGGATATAGCTCAGTGATAGAGCACCTACCTAGCATGTGCAAGAACCTGGTTCAGTCCCTAGCAACACACACACGCGACACACATGCTCTTATATAAATAATCCAGTAGTTTCCATGTGTAGTTTGTTTTTGTTTTTGTTTTTTGGTGGTACTGGGGATTGAACTCAGGGCCTTGTGCATGCAAAGCAAGCACTCTACCAACTGAGCTATATCCCCAGCCCCCATGTGTAGTTTTTTATGTTTGTTTTTTACAGAATGAGCAGGCATTTGAAGAAGTTTTCCAGAACGCCAACTTTCGATCTTTCACATTCAAAATCAGGGTCAAACTGGAGACCTACAATGTAAGTAAGGTCATCAGAGACAGAAGGGTTAACAGTGGGAAATGACTGCTCCCCAGCAACGTTCCGGTATTGGAGTCTTTGAGTGGCCTATTGAATGCCTGACCCACGGCTGAGCACCCTGTGTTCATTACTTGTGGAACTTTCCTTGCACTGAGGCACTCTTACCCCATTGTCAGCTGAGGAAACAGACTCAGGTTCAATGTCTTGTTTGAACATCTAGGCAGGGAAATGCTGTCTATATGGCTCTTTTCATTAGAATCTGGGTTTTTGTTTGGTTTGGTATTCTTGTCTGTGTACTGATAAAAAAATGGTGATATGTATACTAGACTCACAGCTCTTATAAGTTTAATCAACATATGAAACAAAGGTCACATATAGTTAAAATTACCTTGAAAATTCCTTTAATTGCCCATGTCCTACGGTTGTGTAGCATGATTAGCAGCTTTCACTGAGCACTGTCAGCCACTGTCCTACATCCTTTACATGTGTTGTCTCACTTAATCCTCACAGTACCCCCTGTGGTGCCCCCATTTTGCCAATGAAAAATGCAGGCATGCTGAGATTGAGTCTCTGGCCTGAAAGTCATGTGCTAGCAAGCAACAGACCTGAGATTCCAACCCAAGCTGTTGGACTTCCAAGCTTTTCTCCTAACCGTTTTTTAAAATATCAGTATATTTAATAATGTACTGAGCACTCGGGAGTGTGAGAGCTGCTAGCTGGACCATGCAACCTCTGGGCATCACCCTTTCTGCCTCTAAAGGCACTACTCAGTCCCTGGAGATAATATATGAGTGAGAAGGAAGAAGTCTGCCAACCTTTGCCAGCTGCAGCATTTAACTCATTCTGTATTATCAGACTTTGGGTGAGATGTTTGTAAGCATTAAATGAGATGGATGTCAAATAGCAGTGTGATATGACAGGAGGGAATGGATTGGGCTAAAGAGGGATTTTAGGGTTACTTAAGTCCCCTCTTGTTACGGACAAGGAAAATGATCAGAGCTGAGACAGGGCCACCCCCTCTGCTATAGGTGCTTTTTCTTTGACAACAGCTCAGCTGTGTGGCTTTGGGCAAGTCACTTATCCTCTCGGGGCTCCTATTTGCCCCCCTGTAAAAAGAATAAAGACTAGAGATGCCCCTCAAAGCCATTCAGTTAGACTTTGAGGTCTCTGAGTGTTGAGCGCCTGAGGACAGGAAGGAAAGGGCCTGCACAAAGCAGAGATGTTTTGGCCACTGTCCCAGCCCTGAGAATTTTGGGCTAGGCTCTCACACACAGTGTTTTCTTTGTGGGAATTACTGAACTCTGAATCAGTGTGTCTGTTTCCTCCTGCTGGGCTTGTTGAAATCACTGAAGCAAAGCGGGTTATCACCACTGCTCCATGCCAGGGCTTCTATCACTCACAAACCGCTTTTCTCATTTCAAAGGATGAGTCTCGAATTAAGGCCACTGTGATGGACGTGAAGCCCGTGGACTACAGAGACTACGGCAAAAGACTGATCATGAACATCAGGAGAAACGCGGCGATGTAAGAGAGCAGTTCAGCGCTGATTGGGCAGAAGTTTGAAAGCTAAAATGGAGTCAGTCTCGTTCCTACCCCCACATGATAGTCAAGAGTTAGAGCACCTCTGTGGTGGACTGGCAGTTTCCCTCTGAGTGCCTCATGGGACCCAGGCAAAGGACAAAGTGCTCAGAGGGCTGTAGTGCAAACTCTCAGACCCAGGCCCTCTCTCTGACTTCAGGCTTTTGCTGATTTTATTAAAATTTCTTTATCTTCAAGCAGCAATTATGTCACAAGTAATTGACCCTAACTCTGCAAACAGTGAATTAAATTATGTCACTCAAGTTTTGCTTCTCCAGTGGTGACGCCTTCAACTTGGGTTCCTCCTGCAGGGAGCTAGGCGCGTTGGTGAGGAACCCAGGCATTGAGTCTGTGTGTCTTCCTGGAATTCAAAGCCTCTCTCTAGAGGTGCCACATCATCGTTAAAGCTTGGAATGGCGGTAGGGTAGAATTATTAATCAAAGGCATATCTTTATATCTGAAGACTATCCTTCCTTCAGGGTTTAATAGATTTAATAGACTGCGTCAGATGGGTCTGATATTAATCAAAATTGTTTCTTGTGAGGATGGCTGATAAGCATTGACTTGCTGTCCCCCAGGGACATGCAGGCAACTACAAAGCATTGCTGGAGTTTTCACTTCGATTAATGCTGCATTTGGTTGGTGAACGACACTGTGTCTACCTGTACATCATTTCTTGTGTTTGTGTGTTTCATTTCTTGATTAAAGCTACGTTAAATAGAAAGGATTTTGAAGAGAAGAAGCCTTTTGTTTCCCTTACTTTGTTTTAATAAACAGTATATTCTATGCATGTGAATCCTACTTTCTTTGAATGCAAAGGGTTCTTGTAACTGGAAAGCAATTAATTAGCCTTCATAATAAATGTTCACTTGGGAGAGATGTTAACTCGTTACAAACTTGGAGATTAGTCCAAGGCCTGGAGATCATTCTTGCTAATGTTTGCAACCCCAAAATGCATCTTTAAAAGAATGAAAACACAAAAAAGAAAAGCCATTGTGCCCAAGAATGCTGATGATCTGGCACTTTGGGATTTTTATTGATGTTTACACAGCAGTCTAACACCAACCAGGCTTTGAAATGTGTACAGACAGTGAGCCAGTAAGAAAACAGTAATTATGCTACTGGGCTTTTCAGTCAGCAAGAGCATGCTTGCGCTGTGTGTTCCTAATCATATTAATTATCTATCCAGTTGCTGCAACACACCGCTTGGCATTTGCTGCACATCTCTCCAAGTATGCGGGCAGTGTTGCAGTCGGCCTGCAGCTGCGGTCCTGGTTTCTAATTTGTGTAGATGCAACATGTGGAGGCTTTGTGGACCCCAAGAGTGATGCCACCCTGTCTGTTTCATCCTCAGCTCTCCTTTTTCAAGAGGAAGCAGCCAACCTTAGACTGAATGACTCCAATTGCTGAGAACAGACAGAATGGCTTCCTTTGAGGCCCACTGAGGGTTGAGATTCATTTCTCCTTACCCTTCCCTCATCTCAGAAGAAGGGAATTGGGTTGCACTTGATTCTCTGGCTGAGGTCTCACCAATATTTAAGGAAACTCTTTTTCTGTCTGACCTTGCTGATCAAGCATTGACTAGAAAATTATAGTCTTCAGTGCTGTTTGGGATTGACAAATTGTGGGTTGGAGATGGTAATCTAGCTTTCAGTCCAGTAACCAGTCTTTTATATCTACTATTCCCGACATTCCTCCTTCTCCCCAGCATGTATCTGTCTGCCCAGTGAAGGGGACTGACTAGCAGCCCTACCAGCATATGTCCGAGGATGCTGGACCAGTCTCCATACTTGGTCCTCGGCCAGTGCAAGGAAAGCAGCATATCTACATGGATGCGATTAGAAACCCAGGGGGAGTGAGAGGGAGGGGGCTCCCTGGAGGGAGGATGCTTAACAGATTTCCCTACTAAAAAATCAGATCACCAGCAGAGCAGCCTCAGAAATTGGCTCCACTGTTTTGCTTTTAAGAGATTTAGGTCCCAGAGGGTTGCCTAAGTAGATTCTGGCCCACAGTTCTTAGAATTCTCTTGGATATAGTTTACCTTGAAAGGCCGTTCATGTTGTTCTATTTCTCATCTTTCATTTAGAGATCAATGTTTATTTTGCGTACAGTGTGACATCAGCATTAAGCAATTAGGGAAAAAATCTAATCATTTCGCCTTTATTTTAAATGGTTCTTGAATTCTCCTCAGTCTCATTGTGAAAAAAGAAAAAATAAATAAATAAAAAGGTAATAATCTGATTTCTGTCCATATTTTCAGTGTTTTATGCTTTCCATTAAAGCCTTACTAATCTCTAGTGTGCTGTTCTGACTTTTTTTTTTTTTAACTGCAGGGTCAAAACTGCCCTTCTCCCCCACCTTTTTTTTTTTTTTTTTTTCCTGAGTGGCCTGTCTTTGAAAAGTATAAATAATATTGATCGTGGTATTTAATACGCTAATGAAACCCATAGTTATTGACTACATAATTAATATACTGTCTAAAAGTGAAGTTTGGCAGCCCAGTATATAAAGGTTTATATTGACTTGTGTTTCTTTGGCAATAAGCCTGCCAAGGCTTTATTTATAGAAAATGAAACAGGTTGCTCAGCCTTTCCTCCTTTGCACTTGTTAGAAGGCCACTCCTGATCCTCTAATAAACCGATTGTTTCCTTCTCTCAAAGAGTGAGTTTGGTAGTTGTTTTTTAATCCTCCACATTTTTGTATGGCTTGCTACATCTTAGTCTTATAATCTACTCTGTGGGGAGAATTCTGGCTTTTACAAACATCTTTGGAAATAATTATTCTCTCAAAAAGAATACAACAGTTTAGATGTTTTATTTTCACTTGTTGGAAGGGATCTTAACACAATGAGTTTATTTTATTATTTAGCTTGTTAAGTATTTGTTAGTACTTGCTGGGCATGGTGGTGCACACCTGTAATCCCAGCAGCTTGGGAAGCTGGGACAGGAGAATCGTGAGTTCAAAGCCAGGCTCAGTAAAAGTGAGGTGCTGAGCAGCTCAGTGAGACCCTGTCTCTAAATAAAATAGGAAATAGGGCTGGGATGTGGTTCAGTGGTCGAGTGCCCCAACCCCTGTACCGACAACAAAAAGAATTGTTAGTACTTACTGAAGAAAAAATAAAGGGGAAATTTGGACCATTGATAATTATTTTTCTGTATCCAGCGATAATCTGCCACGGAGCTATATCCTCAGCCTTTTTTTTTTTTGTTTTGTTTTTGGTACTGGGAACTGAACTCAGGTATACTCAACCACTGAGCCATATCCCCAGCCCTTTTTATTTTTTATTTTGAGACAAAGTCTCACTGAGTTGTTGACCTTGAACTGGCAGTCCTCTGGCTTCAGTCTCTTTAGTAGGGGATCACTGTCACGCCACGCCCAGGTGGATCATTACTTCTTATGCAAGTAATCCACATTTATTTTAGAAAAATAACTTGGAAACAAGAAAAATAAAAATCATCCATAATCCCATCAACCAGCAATAACCACTTGTTTAATTACTTTCTGTGTATATATAAATGTGGATAAATAACAGGTTTTAAACCAAAGAGGGTGGAGGTCATTAGTCGCAGCTGTGATAGAGCACTTGCCTAGTATGCATGAGGCCCTGGGTTTCATCCCCAGTGTCACAAAAGAATGAAATGGGATCATACCATTTTGTAACATCTAGCACTAGATGATGGAGATCTTCTTTGATGAAAATAGATCTGCATCATTTTAAGTGGTATTTGGCTATTCGGATGTGTATATTTATGGAGCCGAATCGATCTTGACAGATTCTTCTACTTTTTAAATTGTTATAAACTCAGGTTCACATGGGCATGAACAGGTTTTCTTCACAGCATTGTGAAAATACACGCTTGTGCTTCTTGTCCTGTTAGGTTCTCTGATTGTTTTTCTGTTGCCCAAGTCCAGTGATAACTCGTCTTACCCTGTGTGTCATCGAGAGCCGGCAGGTAATTTGAGCAGACCCTTTAGAAGTTGGTAGATGAATGGAGGGAGAGTGGGAAGGGAAGCTTTGGAGCCATCCCTGGTTTTACCACCTACCCAAGGGATGCGGGTGGTGACCACCAAGAGGCCTGAACCCTTGTTTTCTGCCAGCATAGCAGAGATGGCTTCCCAGGAGCACAATTGACTTGCTTTATAAATCAACCTGATTCTTCCTTTAAAGCTTTAGTTACTGATCCTTAAATCTTTTAATTATGTTTGTGATAGAAATTTTGGTAGGTCGTTGAGAAAAGCACCTGGTCAGTTGTCTCCTTGGCCACCTGTTCTAGCCTCCTTGATTTTATGTGTATGTAACGTGTGATGTTTTTAGCTGGGAATTGAACCAGGGGCACTTTACCACTGAGCCACATCTTCGGTCTTTTTTATTTTGTTTTGAGACAGGGTCTCACTAAGTTGCTTAGGACCTCCCTAAATTGTTGCTGAGGGTGGCCTTAAACTTGCAATCCTCCTGCCTCAGCCTCCCGAGTAGCTGGGATTATGGGAGTGCACCATTGCACCCAGCTATTTATTTACTTTTGAGCTAGGGCCTCAGACATGCTAAGCACGTGCTCTACCATGGAGCTATATCCCCTCTAGATGGCTTTAAATCAAGATACTCATTCCCAGGAACTGTGGTCTATTTGGAGTAAGGCTTGGGGCTACATAGTCATATCAGTGAAATTAAAATTCAGTAGATGGCAAGATCACTGGAGATGGGAGTCATCAGCAAAGACTGCACTAAGAAACAAGTGAGTTGAGACATTTGGACTGCAACCTTCATTTAGGTCAGGGGCTGACTGACTGCATGGAGGAATGCATGCCACAGCTGATCACAGTTACTCATTTTACATTCGTCACTCATGGAGGAAACTATGTAGAAGCCATAGAAGTTGGGAGAAGGCCCCAGAAGTTGGTGCCCTGTGTGAATAATGTTTGATGGGGTTTGGGATAAGAGGGCTACTTGCGGGCTGGGGTTGTGGTTCAGCGGTAGACCGCTTGCCTAGCACGTGTGAGGCCCTGGGTTCGATCCTCAGCACCACATAAAGATAAATAAAATAAAGGTATTGTGTCCAACTACTAAAAAAAAAAAGAGAGAGAGAGAGAGATTCCTACTTGCTTTAACTGTCATCAGACCCCAATTTGTATGGAGCTTGTCATGATAGCTGGTGACTTGCCAGCAAACTTGTGGATGTATTTAAGGCTTTGAACCAAACACCTGGCTTTCAGTTTCGCCCAGGCTCTTTATGGCTGTTACCTTGTACCCCTACTTCTTAGCTGATGGTAAATCTCAAAATGTCCAATTTTCAAGAAAACAACTTTTTGGGGTGGGGATGTGGCTCACACGGTAGCGCACTCGCCTGGCATGCGTGCGGCCCGGGTTCGATCCTCAGCACCACATACAAAGATGTTGTGTCTGCTGAAAACTAAAAAATAAATATTAAAATTCTCTCTCGGGGCTGGGGATGTGGCTCAAGCGGTAGCGCGCTCGCCTGGCATGCGTGCGGCCCGGGTTCGATCCTCAGCACCACATACAAACAAAGATGTTGTGTCCGCCAAAAAGTAAAAAAAAATAAAAATAAAAAAGAATTGTTAGAGTAAAAAAAAAAAATTCTCTCTCTCTCTCTCTCTTTAAAAACAAAACAAAAAAGAAAACAACTTTTGTTTTTTCAGCCTTGAAATAGACAGGTGAGGGGGCTGGGGATATAGCTCAGTTGGTAGAGTGCTTGCCCTGCATGCACAAGGCCCTGGGTTCAATCCTCAGTACCACCAAAAAAAAAAAAAAAAAAAAAAAAAACTGGTGAAAAATTTAATCCCAACCGCCTCACATTTAATATTTATACCCATTTCAAAAGTGATCAGGTAAACTTTTAATAATGGTGAGCCATTCTTATAAAATTGTACCTGTTCTCTAGTGTATTACCCACTTTGGTAATTGGAAGTTGGTGCTGTCATTAAAAATGACAGCTTCTTCAGATAACCTGCCTGGTGCTTGTAAAATGCAGATAACCCATCCTATATTTAACTTGTGTGTGGTATAGCTTCCTTTCAGTAGTTAGGTAACCAAGGGGCTGGTGCCTCCAGCAGGAGAGCTCCCAGCAGGGAGCAGCAGCTCTGTGCTTATGAATACCCTGCCCTGAAGTGGAGCCAGAACAACCGGGACTTTTTAAAAATAAGCCCCAATTGGACTCTCATCTCCTCTCACCGTTGACACTGCTGTTCATGTTGAAGTTTATTTATATCTTCAGTCAGCCATGGTACAGAGGTCATTTCTATTGGCCTAAAATTTTAAAGGCTTATAGTTTTGCCTAGGAAAGCTGATCTCCTCAGCACTCAGGCTTGTAATGCCGAGCTTGACTTCTGCAGAAGCATTTCTGCTTCCATAACACCCTCTCTCCCACCACCGTGGCCACCGATCTCCTTCTCCACTGTTTATTTAAAATCTGAATAGCTTTATAAGGTACATCCCTGCAAATGAGCTCTCTTCTAATGGGCTCTCTCTAGGCAGCAAACCTTCCATAAAGGAACCACTAATTAAGAAAAAAAAAAATTGTCTTGCTTAGCCACGTTTCAGGAATCCAGCAGTCAGTTTAGAATATGGCAGCATCCTTCTTTATAGCCGTGATATTAATAATATTCTTTTGTCTCATACCAGAGTGTTTGGCTAGGGGTATGTGTGTGTGCATGTGTCTGTATTCCTGTTCCTGTCTTGCTCTCCATCTTTTCTTTAAATATTTATTTACTTTTTAGTTTTAGGTGGACACAATATCTTTATTTTATTTTTATGTGGTGCTGAGGATCAAACCCAGTGCCTCATGTGTGCTAGGTGAGCACTCTACCACTGAGCCACAACCCCAGCCCTTGCTCTCCATCTCTTAAGAGGAAGATTTGTTCCCGTAGACTTTTATTTTTTGTGAAAATCCTTATTAAAGTTACTCTTTAAGGATCAAACCCATGCCGAGCCTTCCTGGTTGAAAGAGGTGCTGTGGGAAAGTGTGTCGATTTGCAGTGGAGGCACGCACAAGCTTTCTGGGAAGATGCCTGTCAGTCAAATGGGGTTCGTGTGGTGAGGGCCTGAACGGTGCTCTCTCTGTCTCCATCTGAGGGCGAATTGAAGGTGTTAGCAGGCTTAACCGGCCAGCATCACTCATGGCCGATGTGCACGCCACAGCTGCATGCTACACAAGCCTCCTAATGGAACCTTTAGCTCCTGGAGCCAAGTCTCATTTTGTGTGTGTTATTAAAGTGCGGGTGACTAGGAAAAGCAGAGCCCTCTTAATTAGAGAGCGACATTCTTGCATAGTAGTAGTGTTCC